CCCGCAGATGGCGCAGTGCGTGACCCGCGTGGAGCTCTCCGTGGCCTGCGAGCATCTCCTCGACAGAGACGTGGGCTCCAAGTCCGACCCGCTCTGCGTCTTGCTGCAGGACGTGGGAGGCGACCGCTGGGCTGAGGTAAAAGCCGCCATATCCTGGCTTGGTGCTGATGCGCAAAAATCCTAACTTTCCAGAACGAGGGCAGAAGCAGCTTGATTTTTCCTAGTAGCTGCGTGACTATTTATTTATTATATTAGCGTTTAGCTATTATATTAGCGTTCCGCGAATAGTTCCTGGTTTTCCTCCTCCGAGTGTAAGGCAGGCGTTGAGCTGCGGGCCCGTGCACTTCGCTCATCCGTGTTTTGCCCTAGAGCTGCCAGGAGGCCCTGACCTTGGCGGTGTCGCCCTGACCAGACCCACAGCCTTTCCTCTCCCAGCGATCTGGTCTAGCTCTTCACGGCCTCCTCCTTCCTTTCTTTAATCTTTTTATTCTCAGGATTCCTCTGTGCCATAACGCACGTTTGTACTCAGTGTGGTTTGTTTTCCTGATGAGTGCCAGTAAGTGGGATGTCGATTCCTCTAGAGCATGGCCTCTGTTTAAGCCAGAGGCAACACGGGGGAAATAAAGAGTTTTAGGGAAGAAAGTGTGATTAAATTAATTTAATTTATTTAATTTTATTTTGCTCCTGTTAGGTAATAGCTTTTTCTCTCTGCTCGCGTAGTTAGATCGAACGGAGAGGATAAAGAATTGTCAGAAACCTGAATTCTCCAAGAAATTCATCATCGACTACTACTTTGAGAAAGTGCAGAAACTGAAGTTTGGTATATATGATATTGATAATAAATCCTTTGATTTAAATGATGATGATTACCTTGGAGGGATTGAATGCACGCTGGGACAGGTATGTGTAGAAATATGTTCGGGGATCTCTATAAAATAGACATATCTTGGCTTTATTACGATAAGGGGGAGGAAAGACTGGTATGTTGGAGGCTTTGTCACACTAAAATTTGAAAACCTTTTGTTTATTACTCTCACCTAACAGATTTGTTAGTGCTGCTAGTGGATGCGGGCAGAAAAGCTGTTATGTTGAGCTGGAGCTTCTACCTGATTTGGGGAGCTCGAGCAGAGGAGCATGCACAACTCTGGGGGAAGGTTCGGAAGAGACTGGAAAAAGTTCTTGGGGAGATGAGAAAATATGTGTGGTTTGCAATTAATTGGGTAAAGTAGGGAGCTCTTCCACCATTGAAAGGAATCTGAACGCATGTTCAGAGACTTCTAACAGAGCTGTTCTAGCATGTTTGCCTGCCTTTGCACAAAAAGATGATCAGACAGTAAATCTAAGGGAATAAGATTATTCGTGATTCTGTATTTATTACTCAAAGAGGTGTTTGTATAGCTGGGAGTAGAAAGGTAAGAGTTCAGGGTGTTAAAAAGAGACTTGATAAAACAAAGTATTTTTTTAATAGTTTTCAGCTACTTAGAGTGAAAACATCTTTTTATTGTCATGGGGGAAGCAAAAATAGACTGAAGTTAAATCTGGAGACAAGTTAGTGGGTACTATTTTGTGAGTATTGAGAGAAAGTGTTTTTTCAAGCTTCATAAACATTTCAGGAGTGCAAATTCTTACTGCTGTCACTTTTGAAGCTGGATCTAAAGCCTTTTAGATCTTTTAGCACAGTTTGAAAATTTTACTCTCGAAGAATTCCTTTTTATTTAAGCTGATATACTTACTGTCTGTCTTTTAACCTCAGATAGTGTCCAGCTCAGTGTTCACCCGACCCTTGGAAATGAAGAAGGGAAAGCCAGCAGGAAAAGGCACTATTACGGTAGATGAGCTTTTTTCTGTTGGGGGGAAAAAAAAAAAAAACACACACCTGTTCTTGCTCTTGCTTTATTGGATCTGGGACATTTTTATCTTTATTTTTTTATATATATTTTTATTAGTGTCTTTTAAAAAGCTGCAGTTCTGGCATACAGGAGACGTAGTTTTTTGTTACTGTACACAGAGTTCTTTCATGCACTAAATGTGTTCAGAACTCTGTTTTTTTTTTTTTTTTTTGCTTTTTAACTTTTCTAATTTTTATGTCACAGATTTCAGCAGAGGAGATTAAAGATGCCAGAGTTGTGTATTTGGAAATTGAAGCTCGAAACCTGGACAAAAAGGTATTGATTCTTTAAATGATATTGCGTGCTTCTGCAAGTGTTGACTATATTTACAGTTAGTGCCTTTCAGCCATGAGTCTCACTGTATTTGCCAGTGTTCAACTAAGGTATGTAATACACTTGTGAAAAAAGGCTCTTTACATTTTGTTACTGGTTGTGCTGTGGACTGGAGATGTAAGTTTGCACTGAAAAACATGGTGTCAACCTGGAAACTTAACCGCTGTGTTAAGTTTTGAGAGATTTTTTTTTCTTTAGAATTTTCTCTAAGTTTTGTTTGAACAAGTAATTGTATCCAGAGAATCCTTTAGTTTTGCAGTGGGCTAGGTTTCCTATAATGTTATGTAAGGAGGAAAAGGGAGAGAAGTAGGTATGCTACCTTGGTGGTGTTTTAAGTCCAAGTTTGATTCGGGGTATCCGTGACCTCACTGCAATTGGGTCAAATGGCCCAATTTATAGTAACAGAAATGGTCTGTGGAGGCTCAGTATTGGAATTAAAACCAGTGTGGTCTCGTGATTTTGAAAATGAGGCAGTTTAAAATTGTAAAGAATAAAGCAAATTTGTAGTTTGTGTTTTTTAATTTATTTTTTATTTTTTAAGTGTGTTCTGTGGGGCTTTTATGTTTGCAGGATTTCTTGGGTAAATCGGATCCATTTTTGGAGCTTTACAAGCAGACTGATGCTGGAAAATGGCAGCTGGTGTACAGATCCGAGGTAGCGTTTCTGCACTTGTGTACTGTGTTGTTGAGTCAATCAGGGCTTGCTCCTGCCCAAAGCAGGAGTCCCCCTCCTCAACATGCCTTGCACTAGTCTTGCAAGGAAAATTGTCATATAGCCCCTCCTTTCCCACTCCCACTAAAGGATGCAGCTCACTGGTGTAGCACAAAATGGCTTACTTTCTGCCTCGTCTCTGGATTGAGCGGGTTCAGTGATGAGTCCAGCCAAGCAAGAGATGAGAGTAGCAGGGCGTCCCCTTTTCAGCCATGATGAGCTGTGTTGGATTGAATTGGCTTGGCTCTAAAGTTAAATTTTATCCTCAGCTGATAGCTCTCCTTTCCTACAGCGCCTGACTTTCTGCTTGGTGTCTCATGGGTGTCGTGGTCTCTTAGATAAACTGAGGCTGCAATAGATTGCCCCAGGAGTGCAGAACTCTCGTGGTAAATTTCTTAATGATATGTGTGCAGTGACCTTCACATTATTTATTGTAATTTTTAAGGTGATTAAGAACAACCTAAACCCATGCTGGAGGAAATTCAGTGTTCCCTTGCAGACATTCTGTGGTGGAGACTTTAATAAACCTATCAAGGTACATCCTTCAGAAATTCTCTGTGTATTATTGTAAGTAACCCTCTCTCTGTTGACATGATCTCTGAACTATCAGGTTGACTAGTCCTATTAAAATTTTTATTTTGCTTTTCTAAAATAATAATATGGTAGATAAGTGATTATATGTTTATTAAATACAAAGCTTATGTTAAAACATGAGTTGTCAAAGTGAAACTGGGAAATGCAGAAGTGACACACTTTCTAATGATTAGTCATTATGATTAATTATATGATGACTCTGGACCTTTTTTATTTTTTTTCTACGCCCCAATACTACTTCTCAGTTAACTGAGATACTCAAATATATTGGGCAAACTTGAAAGGCACTACTGAAAGGGGGAGTCTTTAATGCAGACTTCAGCTTCATTCCTTCACATGAACAGGAGCTTATCCAAAATTCTTTCTGATTTTACTAGAAATTTGGTTTTGAGTCAGAACTCTGATTGCTTGAGGTCTTGCATATGATGACTAATTCTGTCCAATACCAGGTTATGCAGGTAGTGGAACAATCACCTTTTATTATAAGTTGCTACAAAAAGTCATAGCAGGTTAATGCGTTGAAATGTCTGTTTCTAAACAATGTATTGATAAGTAAAGATATTTAAAGCCATAGATACTTCTAAGTGAGTAAAGTCTCTTAGCTTATTCAACTCCTAAACACGTTTTATTTGCAGAATTTTCCTGCCCCATGATGTCGATGAAGAAATGGAACGCTGAAAGTTTGCTGTTACAGGTTTAGCATAAAGCACGTGTGCTAATCTTTTTCTTTGTGCAGCATGGCAAATCCAAAGAATTACTGAGATGATTACCTTGGAAACAGATTGTGAAGTGTGCTGGGGTTATTGGCAATGTCCCACGTGGTGTTCCTGAGCTTTGTCACTGGGCAGCCAACATTTCTGGGTCACGAGGAGGTCCTCTTGATACAAAAGTGAACAGTGAATGTGAGGAGGAGATTGGCAAATGATAATAAGTATCTCTTTGCCAAACTGACTTAAACACATTTCAGGCATTCCACTGCATGAAACTGTATTTCCTGTAGACAGGATAGATTTGTTTTTTGGGGACCTGTCTGTGCTTTGCAATTCCCTTTGGAATGACCTGCTTTTTAAAAATGGTGGATTTTTGTTGTTCCTTTCAGCTGGAATTCTTGATGCATTTGCAAGTGCTCCATTAAGTTTCACAACAAACCTTTGAGAGAGTCATATGTTCTACTTCACTTACCGATTAGGAGATTCTGTCAGATGTCACAATGGGGAATCCAGACTGAAAACCAGGCATGTTGCTGGCAGCCCTAAAAGTGCAATATGGAGCTGGAATTTCATAGAACAGTAGGTGAAAAGTGCTGTAGGGTCTTTAATTGTGTCAGGTCTTAAACCATTCTTGGAACAGGGCAGTTGTTTTACGAAAGGTTAGGCAGCCAGATTTACTTTATTTGGTATTTGCCATTCTGAAGCTCTTGGGGGTTCTAAAAGTTGTGTAGGAAAAAATTATGCATGAAATACAGTTGTCAGTGAATGGGGAACTCCTCATACTGAAATCAGTTTGTGTCTCCTAAACATTGGCTTTGCTGGCCAAGTATGAGAATTTTTATTGGGGAGTATGTACTGAATATGCACGTAAATGTAAATCTTGTGATCAAATTAATGTTGCTACCTAATATTTCAGTAATTCTTTCTTCATTGTGCAAAAAGTGCCTTTTTTTTGTTTTGAGACTCCCTCAAATTTGTGATGCAACTTAATCTCCTTAAGAGGCAAGTAGCAGTAGCTTCTGCCCATTCCCACCTCATTCCACCAGTTGTTTAAATACCAACAGTAAATGTGAAAGTTAAAAAAAAAAAAAAAACCAACAACAACAAGAAAAAATCTGCCTTTCTGTCCACTGGATTGTGTATGCATAAAGAAAAGTCTGTTGAATTTCAGAAATCTGTCCTGTAGGCAAAAGGAACATGTTATTTAAATGTATCCCAAGGTTCTTAATACTCAATAGTACAGTGACTTACTGACAAATTATTTCTTTGTAATAACAATTCATCAGTGAATTAAGCATAGTACCCTGCAGTGTTGCTAGCTGTGTCTCAGAAAGCAGCTATTGGCAGCTTTTTGGTATTTCTGTCTTAGCTATTGGCAGCTTCTTGGTATTTTTGCCTTGTGTTGTGTCTTCTGTGCATCTGTGGCAGCACAGCTCTACAAGCTGTGTGTTGCGAATCTCAGCCAGTTTCAGGAAACACTTTCAAAAGGAGTTTTATTCTATGCTAGATCATGCTCTGAACTACAAATGGAACTGGGCCTAAATACAGTTTTATTACCACGGCGGAAAGGACAGCTTGAAGACAAGAGCACGCTCAGGGGGAGAGGAGGAAGTGCACAGAGGTGGTAACTGCTGAATTCTCTAACAGTGTCTCCAGGGGCATCAGTCTGAAGGAGACCCTGCACTGTGAATCCTCACCTTGGTCTCCAACAAGAGCGTTCTTGAGTAGATGAGCCTTGACATAACTGAATGGCTTTTAGTGTGCACAGGAGAGGATTGGAAAACTGGTGGCTGGGAAAGGATGAAGGTGAGAAGTGGGGACAGCAGTCTCAGGAGTGACCTTTTTTTTTTCCATTGAGGGGACCAGATGATGGTGTGATGCTTCCTGAATGCGCTAGTTAGGCCGTTATTCACCCAGCATTTTTAAAGACTTCCCAGTGGAAGATCCCTACTGGATCAAAGGCAATAAAGAATCTTCAGAGAACCCTGTCCTCTACTTCAGTGACGTAACCACTGCATTTGACATCCTCATCTGGGTGTTACAGATGAATTGATCTTGTTCCTTCATCCTGAGGAAAAAGCTCTCACTAGGCTTTATGCTGGGCTTGCACTAGTTTTTCCTTTATTAAAACCAGGTCCCAGGAAGAGAGCTTTCGAATTCATGTTAGCGTGCGAGTGGGCAGCAGTTCAGAACTTTGTCTCTGGGTTCACTGCTCCGCAGTTACCTGTGTTCTCCCATCTCGTGTGTTGTGTGTGCTAAAAATTCTCCTTGTGGTTGCTGGCTTCATGGGAAGCTATTGCCAGTGTGCACCCAGCAGGGTCTGCTCTCAGCTGCAGTCACTTGTATTTTGTATTTTAGCTGTAATGCTCTTTTGCATTATCTAGCTCAGAGGTTTCAAGCTTTTGTGGTGAAGTAAACATAACTAGTTGTTAATAAAAATTTAGAATTTGCTTGATGTAAGATACATCAAGGGGAAAAAATGTCAAGGCACCATGGAAATGGTAGTTTCTTTGTAAATCCCTGCTATTGACAGGCATAAAGAAGGAGTATGTTCAGAAAGAGCTCAGATAAGACACTTTTTGTGTGTTCTTTCCGTTACCCAATTGTGTCCCTTGTCCTGAACTATCTCCAGCTCTCAGCTTTGGCTTGTGAGATGTGTTTTTTGTTGCGGGGAGGAGGATTTTTTTTTTTTTTTAGTCTCTGTTTTTTGAAGTGGGAAAAGTTTTAATTAAAGCAAACTTTCCCTTTGCATACTTGAACGGGTGAGCAATCTTGAGTCTTCCTGGGCGATTCGCTCTCAGTGTTTCTGTTACGCCAGGCCTCAGCTCGGATTCGGTGGGGGCGTCCGTGCTGCCGCGGAGCCGCGGGAGCAGGCGGTGCGTGGTGAGCAGCTGCCCTCCCGCCGTGCAGGGCGCTTGCCCATTCTTGCTGTCTCTTCCCTTCCAGGTGCAGTGTGCGGATCATGATAGTGATGGGTCCCATGACTTGATAGGCAGTTTTGAAACTAACCTGACTCAGCTGCAGGAAGCGGGTGGCAGCTCTCCGGTGAGCTTTCTCACTTCCCTCCCTCCAATCCACAATTCAGCCTTCCACAAACCCCTTTGAATATTAACTCCTGTTATATGTATTTTTAGCTGGTGCTCCAAAAGTGTTGGGTTTTTTTCTGCCTATCTTTTTAGTGCACACACGTCTGGGAAAAATGTGGTATGGGGATATGTTGCTGATGAGGCAAACCTTTTCTCAGGTCTTTCCTCATGTGTTACTCTGTGTTGGTAGCGGAAGCATCCAATTTAACTTGTCAGGTAGCAGCCGAAGTAGTTGCTAACCCTTTGAAGTAAAGCTTCAGAGTACTGCCAGACATTTGGATAATCTCTGAAATTATACAATGCCCAACAGTATTCCGTTTCTGTAATTTGCAATGCTATAAGTACAGATGATACTTATTTTGTAACCTACTGCTTACATGCCTGCTTTTTGTAGGTGGAATTTGGATGCATTCATCCTGAGAAGAAACAAAAGAAAAAGAGCTACAAAAACTCTGGCATCATTAGGATCAAATCCTGCAAGGTAGAAGGATTTTGTCTGTTTAGCTGTTTTGTTTTCTAGTTGTAAAGAAATCTACATCCATGGGGAGAAGGTGTAACTGCTTGTTTGTTCCTTTAGATTGAAAGAGATTACTCTTTCCTGGATTATGTCATGGGAGGCTGCCAGATTAACTTCACAGTGAGTTTGTTTGCCCACTACACATCATTGCTTCTTTTCCTGCCATTTACCAAGAAGTTATGTGATTGTTTTATTTGCAGCTTGTGCTCTTATGAACTGATGAAGATTGCAAGAAGCAAGACATTTCATGGATTTACCTTTTGCAATTTAGTAGTAACTTTAATGCCTCTATCTGGGCGTTCTTAAATTTCTTTTGAGTAATTGCTTCTCTGTCTAGCAGTGGAAAGGCTGCCTGTGCCTTAGACAGGCACGTGCTCCAAGGGGAAGAGGCATGTGGGAGACCTGCCCGCCTGTCTCTATGTGGGGTTGCATTAGTGTCCGGAAGGGAGGGAGCTATTTGGGGCTGGTCTTACCTCTGTTTCTGGGTCTGCATCTTTTTTCTTATTTGCTTGTGGGGATACTTCAGTGATCTGCTGCCATTATATAGGTGGGTATAGACTTCACTGGCTCCAATGGAGATCCCAAGTCACCAGATTCCCTTCACTACATCAGCCCGGATGGGATAAACCCGTACCTGATTGCTATCTGGAGTGTGGGAAGTGTCGTCCAGGATTATGACACGTAAGTAGGAGGCTCTTAACTCGTTTGGCCACTGCAGTAAAAATGTGTCACCACAGGTGTCGGCGTAAAGACTTGTTCCACAGCTCCAACATTCGAGTGACTGCAGTGCTCCCTTTCCTTGGATTCATTCAGGAGATGCTATTTCTTCCTGCAGCATTTGTCCCTGCTTGGGGGAGGCAGATGCAGCATGTCATAATTTGGTTTGTTTGATTTATCCTTCCACTTACACCCTTTTTATGGTCCTGGATTACTGTGTTGCTTTAATTCACATTGATCTCTCGTTGCTGACAATTCACTTCAAACATGAATACTCTGTTTGATTCAGGGACAGCACATTTGCTTGCTCTGTCCGTTAGCCATGTTGTGATTGGGTTGGCTTTCCTCATGGTACTTTGAAATCCCCTGTGGTACTGTGGGATGCTGTGTTGGAAGGATTTTTTAATGCCTTAAACTTCTGGGTAGCTGATGACTGGCCTAAGAGAACCAGGTAGCATGTCAGTTCTTCACGGCAGCAATGCAGTCTTGGACTCCAAGTGATTTCTGTGAATAAACCAGAATAGGGAAGTACTAAAGAAGGGTTCTTAAACTTTTTTTTTTTTTCCCTTGTTGCCTTTGTCTCCAGGGACAAGTTGTTTCCTGCATTTGGGTTTGGAGCTCAGGTTCCTCCTAGCTGGCAGGTAGGGGCCTCCAAGTGCTGTGATGTTGCTCTGTGCCTGCTGCATTCTCTGATCAGTTGTCATGTCTCCCTCCTAGGTATCTCATGAGTTTGCTTTGAACTTCAACCCCAGCAACCCTTACTGTCAAGGTGAGGAAACCTCTTTATCAATGTTTCATGAAAGAGACACTAATTGCAAGCATTGCATTTCTTTCATAATTAATAAAAAACAGATGCAGCCGCAAGACATGCTACAAACCAGATTTACTCTCATCTGGACAGTCAGGAGTGGACATGTGCTGATGCACAGTAGTTTTGAACGAATCTTAGCAGTGCAGTTACTGCACTAAAACCTGCGTGTGGGGCAGTGTGAGCAGCAGTGGCCATTGAGTCTGTATTGATATAAGCAAGGAATAGGTGAATTTAGAGGCATCTGCAGAAGAACATGCAGCATTGAAAACCAAACTTTTTTTAAAAACTCAGTAAACTTGTTTCTTACATGAGAAAATCTTTAAGGGTTGCTGTTTCTGTTACAGAAGTGTTTGAATCCTGAGTCAGGGATCATTATCCAGTATGGACACAAGGAGGACTAAATAGTTACTGCTCCAGAGAGCTTCTGACCTTCTTGTTCTAATTAGACTATTAGCAATTAAGCAAAACAAACTGGAAGGGGGAAAGGACAAAGTAAAGTTAGTCATCAGGTGCCTTCACGGGATGGTTTTTCCCTAAACTCACATTGGTTTTGTTATGTTGGAGGCGCAAAGAGCAATGTGAAATACAGGATTGGGAAGCAGTCTGCAGATCTTATCTCTGCAGATGCCCCCTGATTTCAGCAGTGTGCTGTGTATACTCAGTGCTCTCCTGCTCTTTGGTCATCTGTCCATCAGGAGCTTACATCTGTGTGGGAGTTGCTATCTTTTGCTGTACTGCTTAATAATGCTGAGAAAAGAACTGATGGGGAAGTTTTAAGGCTTTTGTTGCAACATGCTTTCCTTGTATTACAGGGATCCAAGGAATCGTGGATGCCTACCGCCAGATCCTTCCCCAGCTCCGTCTCTATGGACCAACCAACTTCTCTCCCATTATCAACCACGTGGCAAGGTTTGCAGCACACTCGTTGCAGCAAGGGAACGCCTCTGTGAGTCAGTGTCACTCCCTGTTGCTCTGTGCTTGGCGAGGGTTTCTTGCTGGGATGATGTGGAATGGCAAAGGAGTCTCCTCTCCTTGCTCAGGAGCCAAAGTTTGAGCCCCTTCAAGTCTAAAATGATGCCATCAGTTCTATCCTGGTTCATACTGTTGTGTAGCTGAGCTTGGTCCATATTGACAGGAGCTTCTGATGTTCAGTTATACCTATTTCCTTCTGGGGAGTTTTTCTGGCATTGTACTTACTGCAGAGTATATGCGTAAGCTGTGTTGGCTTGCAGACCAATGGACTGTGACAGCAGTTACCTCAGCCTGACCTCTCTCTTGACAAGCTTCAGGACCTTCAGGGAGTGCAAAGTATAAGGGCCTCCTTACACTCCTTAAGGTTTTTTTTCCCAAACAATTCTGCACTCAACAATAGATATATGAAGAAGAACTGAATAATATCAGGGATTTTGACCATTTGTGCTGCCATGGTTGCATGCAGATCAGGGTATCTAGATAGCCAAGATTAACCAAGATAGATTAACCAAATAGTGTGGTAATTGGTAAATCAATATGTAAATTAAAAGCAATGTATGACATGGATGTTGCTCCTGTGTTTGCATTGCACATGTCTTATCTGTGCGCTTTTAGGCTCATGGCTGGTGTTCAAATTCAGCTCTGTAATTTAAAAGTTCAGTCTGTTTAAGGAGAAAAACTCCTATCCTCTGATGCTGTTAATTGATTTCATTTTGATGGCCCAATTAAGTCATTTCAGGTACACTGTCATTCTGACTTCATGGGCTAGCTGCACCAGCAATTTTAGTTGTACTTAAGCTCACGTGCACATACAGTTCATTTCCCATACCATGGGATGCTTTAGGAGTTAGAAGTTTGGTTTTCTTTTGTTTTAATTTTTAGTCTGTAAATAGTTGCTTTAAAATAGTGATTGCTCATTTCAGAATCGGTGGTAAACCTTAGCCTTTAGAAGTGGAAGGAAATTTTGAACACTTTACCATGCCAGTGTTGTGATTTGAGGTATTTTATTCTTTCCAGACAGATTCCTGCGTGCTTTTCCTTTGGCTGTCTCTAGAGTGGCGGTGTGCTGTGAGGGTCGCCACTGCCATGCTTTGAGATATCTAATGCTTCTCATTTAAACTCCTGTCACTACTCGTGCTACAAAGGCTGCTTTTTTGAGGCAGTTACAGTTAAGGATATAAAATAATAAATGTCATCCTTTTTGAAGCATCCATTTATACAGCAGCATCAAACAGTGAGTTTTGTAGGCAGCTTTGTTGATGTAGTACTACTTTGCTCATCTTTAGTGCTTTCTACCAGTGAATATAATCATTCTTTGCACTTACAAATTGGATTTAGGCTGCTGGTGGGTGGGTCTCTTTTTAAACGTTATACAGAAGAAATCTGGAGTGGATAAGGAAAGGTGATATGAAAACACTGGAAAAAACATAAGTTCCATTAATGTTCTGGTTTGTTTTATCCACCACACCATCTACTTCCTTTCAGAGTAACAAATTGTTCCTTTTGCCTTCAATTGTCTGAGCTTTAGTGCTAAACTCTAACTGGGTGTTTTTTTCCTAATGTTTTTCAGCAATATTTTGTCTTGCTGATCATCACAGATGGAGAGATCACTGACCTGGACCAAACGAGGCAGGCGATTGTCAATGCCTCCAAGCTGCCGATGTCCATCATTATTGTTGGTGTTGGTGAAGCTGATTTCAAGGCAATGGAGTTTCTGGACGGGGACGGTGGTGTTCTGAGGTCCTTGACAGGAGAACCGGCCACACGAGACATCGTCCAGTTTGTGCCTTTCCGACAGTTCAAAAATGTAAGTTACCCTCAAGTTCAGAAGAGTCCTGGTGCTGGTATGTATGCAGCTATTGCATCAAAAAAAAAAAAAAAAAAAAGGCACTGGTCTGGAGAATTTATTAATTAATAATATAATGCATAGTGTGAATTCAGCAAACTGTCACAGGAAATGCTGTCCAAACTGCTTGCTTCCAGTGAAAACTGTGAGGTGTTTGCTTCTCCATTAGAAGCTGAGTGCCTTATCACAATTCCTCTGCAGCTTTTCTGAGAGAGTTCTTGTCTTATAGTTTGTTGCGTGGCCAAGAGACAGGTTATTTAAGAATTAGAGGAGAAAGGAGGATGTTTTCTCTTTCTTTCTGAGATGCAACCATTTAGGCAATGGACTGGGGCCATGCTAGGCCTTATCTATGATTCTGATGTCAAGCTCCATGAGTGGTTTAAGCTGATCCTGGATTCCCTGCTGTTGAAAGAAATCCTGTCACATCCTAGTTTCTCACTGCTTTTTATGTTGAGACCAAGATTCTCGAATGTCAGGCAGTGAACTGGATTAAAGAGTGTAGCCAGATGAAAACTAACCCTAAATAAGCGTAGTGGTAGTGGTTGGCTCAGCTTCCCACCTAGCTCAGGCTGAGCCCTACAGAGGCTGCGTCATCTTGGAATTGAGATTGGGGCACTGCAGGAGGGGAAGAAGCACTTGCTTTCAGGGGCAGTACATGCTGAGACTGACTGAAGATGCTACTGAAACTGTAGTAAGGAACTCTGGAAATGCTGAGGGAGATGTGAGCGAGCAGCAGACCGTGCTGCCTTCTCAGCCTGGTTTGCCTGGCAGGTGGGCGCTTTCTGAGTTCTGTGAGAGGTTCTGTCACTGCTGATAAACCCTGTTTCTGCAGTATCTCTGATTTCCTTTCTCCTTGCAGGCTCCCCGGGAAGCCCTTTCCCAGATGGTCCTGGCTGAAGTGCCCAAGCAGCTGGTGTCGTACTACAAGCTGCAGGGATGGCCGCCTGTGAAACTGCCAGAAGTAAAGCAAGTGTAGCGTGCAGCCTGAGCCCGGCCCCGGGTGTCATGGCGCTGGAGAGCTGCTTCTGCGCCCGCTCTTCTTCTGCACCCTGCAGAGCGCTCAGTGCCCCGCGGACGCACCGCTCGCACCGAGTGCTCTCATCTGCTTGCGCTTTGCGACCTTTCTCTTCCCTGTTCTCGATAGGAAGAAACATAAATATGGGGAAAATGCAGTTGCTGGAAGTTTTTGTCACAGAACAACAGTTGTTGTTAGATTTCCACCTTGCAACAGTGACAGGAGACACCCCACATCCTTGCTTGGTGTAGCCCAATTCCTGCTTGATGTCAGCATGGGTACGTGCGCTGCTCTCACCCAGCACTACTCTCACAGCACTGCTTCCATGCTCGCCGGGGCAAGCACTGTACTTGTGTTTGTCACAACGATACTTGTCGTGTTCCTTATTAGAGTTTTTCTTCTATCAAGCTGCCTTGGGAATGGGGACCCTTCTGTGCTGGTTGGTACCAAAGTCTGTTGGGTGGATGCCTGAGGTAGTTCTTGTGCCTTCATATAACGTGCCAGTATATTTTTATATGTAGAGTTTTATTTTTAAATTTCAGTTACCATAATTACCACTCGTTTTGCAAATTACATTTTTCTGTTTGCAACGATGGCATCCTGATTTACTTTGGACCCGTTCTTGCTTGTATCTGGGAGCGTTCATGAGGTATGTGACTTTCAGCATCCATCAGCTGCAAACATTGAAATAAGGTTGCTTGAATGATATTCCTAATATTGAGCAATTATCATATGAAGAAGTAATTATCTGTGGAACTTCAAAAAGGTGCTTTGTTGTCCTCGAAATGCAAATCATGTATAATTGTGGTTTGAATACCATGAAAGAGGCAGATGATAACAAAGTGCAATTGCCTTGAGGCACCGGAGATACTTTATGCCTATTTTGAAATGGATTAGCTTGGGCTTGTCATTGCTCTACAAGTGGTCATTACTCTCAATTTCATAAATAAATAATCTGCTTTGATCTATAGCTGCCTGGACTCTTATTTCCTTTCTGGGCTTTTGTTTTCCCCCAGTATTGATGTGGAGGTTTATGGAAGGCCTTCAGTGTTAGTGCCACAGAGACAGCACCCAAGTTAGCTGGGATTGGGTGTGAGCGACTGTGGATGCAGGGCAGGTCGGTGTGCAGCCTGTGCTGCAGACACAGGACAGGTCGGTGTGCAGCCCGTCCTGCAGACGCGGGGCAGGTCAACGTGCAGCCCATGCCACAGGCGCAGAGGAAGTCAACATGCAGCCTGTGCCCCGTGCCGCAGTGAGACGAGCTGTTTGTTCAGTGTTAGCTGATGGAAGGACTCATCCGTTCTCCTGGAACACAACAGTTGTGAGAAGAATTTGGAAGACTGCCCTGGTGATTTAGCATATGATCCTGGTAGGTTGCACACATGGGAAAGCAAAACCTGGGTTTGAACACACTCCTCCCACAGATGAGCTGTTCTGGATGGTATTAACCACCAAAGTCTAAAATACAGCTTGTGTTTGACAGACAGCATAGCCTGGCACACCACTGAGCAGACATGTTTTTGCTGTTTTGTCATTCCAATACAGTTTTTATGGGATACATTCTCCCAAGTTCCATAAGCAGCAATTTCCTTCCTCCAGAGAAAGCTGGAATAGCTCTTTAAGGTACTTCAACACCTAGCTTGCAGCATCCAATTTTCATCAGATTCTGCGTTGAGACGTTTACAACCTGCAGGTAGAACTCTTCCTAACTGTATATTTATAATCTGTTTCCGCAAATCTAAGTCTGATTTTTATTTTCATTTTAATTTATTTTTAAAATTTATTTTTAAAATTTTATTTTATTTTTTGGAAAGTGGTGAAGGGGAAAACTTGCAACAGTGATGCTGAAGGCTCAGCAATCCTTTGGTGCAAGAAATACCAGTGGTATTTTCTTTGCTACAGTGCTTAGAGGAGGAATATGAGTTCTGGGAAAGCTCACTCCAGCAGCATGCGTAGAGACAAATGCATTTCTCCTTTTTGAACTTATGTAAGTTCTGCTCAAAAAGAAGAAGAAAAAGAAGAATCTTCTCTAGTGCCTGTCTATCTCCACTGGAGCTTAGACAGTTGGAGTAGCTGCCTCATCTGAAGTCATCTGGGGTGACTGCAGATGCTGCACTCAGTTGATGACAGGAGTGGAGATGTTTTCTTTTCTTTTTTTTTTCTCCCTGCTCTGGAGAAGAAAACACTCACTTCTGAGGATGACTGCTGGTGTGGAGCAAGGTGAAAAGCCGTTAGAAAGGCCAATCTTGGTTGCACAGTTCTGTCTAGTTTCTCTCCCTCTTGTTCTCCCAGGGCTGCTCCTCTCTGATGCAGAGAGGGCTGTGGTGCTGGTCAGAGGTGAGGACACGTGTCCCGTGCCTCGTGCTGCCCTGGGTGTAGCTGGAATGCAGAGCTGCAGGATGCTTGTTGCCTGAGGTAGGGCAGAGCCCAGGTTTTCTTACGTTACCCTTCCCCATGTTCACTCGCCCAGTGGGTGCGCCCGTTCCTGGTTCTGAATCACCTTGTGCTCTATAGCTGCAGGAGGCATGTTCACGCTGGGTCCCTCTGACAGTGCTGTGTGGGTGTAGAGAATACTTTCACCTCTGCTTCTTGATGAAAAGATACCTCACATGAGGATGTTTCCGTTTCTTCTTGCTCTGGCTGGATCCTGTTGACACATCTGGACTCTGGAAACTCCTGAAACTTGATAATCTGCTTTTGACTCACGGGTTTGACAGATTCAGCTCTCAAAATCAATTTAGGGGTGGGGGGGAAGGAACAGGGTGTATGTTTTGTGGTACCTGGCCCAGTGCTGTCCCACTGAAGGGTTCTGTTGTTCTGCTTAGCATTTCCCCTTAAACTACTGCAAACTGGTTCAGGGTATCTCCCATGGGGTAAACTTGCCAGTTGTTTTTCTTTCTATCAGCTGTCCTAGTAAAATGTTCATCCTACGTAGGTGTCAGCACCCAGAACCAAGCGAAGATTCTTCTTCCCTCACATGTTGTCTGCGCTACTATTTAGACAGCATTTCTCAAGTTCTCACCACCAGCATCACCTGGAAAGTTTCTTCATAAACACTTACGAAGACCCTGTACTTCTTATGCCAGCAGGGTCCAGAATCCATCACCCATGTCTTCCTCTGCATAGGGCCAAATGCTGTTCACCTCATAGCCAGCTTCTTTCTGGGTTCCAGAGACACTGGAACTCTCTCACTAGGTCTTCCTGGTGCCCTTTTCAATTATGTTTGACAACCTACTTTGACAACTCGACTTACCCTTACGGAAGCCATTACTAAGGGCTCATTACCCTTAAGGGAGTCTTTGCACAAGGTGTAGTGTAGAGAAGAGGCTGCTCATCCTTCTCATCAAGTGCTTTCAGGAGGTGTCCTGTAGCCTTGCCAGTCCCAATGGAGAGCAAAACACCCTTGCAGCACTTGCAGTGTTCTCTTTCATTACCCACTGACGTGCATTTCATTTTGCACGAGCAGAACTCTTGAAGTCCCCCAAGGGTCTTATGGCAAATGATATCTATTTGCTGTCCAGAAATGAGAAGTACAAGCAGGAGGCCTTGGTTCTCCGTTCACGTCAGAGCTTCCAAGCTTCCACTCACGATTTTAAGGAGAATTTCTAGTTGAAGCAAAGGTTATTCATTTTCAGGGAGGTGGTCTGGATGTGACTGATGAAACACCTAGAACCACATCTGCAGCGGGGGGACTGTCAGAGTTTGGTCCCCTGGCCCCCCATGGAAATTTCTGTCACAGTCAGTCTGAGACGGCATGCACTCCTCTGTTCTGTTACAGACCCACACTGAAGCAACCTGCTTAATATGTCTGTCCTTTGTACCTCAAAAGAGACCGCAATTTGTAGCAAACTTTCCCCTCCTCACCCTCAGGGACCTCAGGCCTCTGCCACAACATGGATGTAATTACAGTTGGGGTAACCAGTCCTCTAGTGTCAGCATCTGAGCAGTGTTCCTGTAACGTAACCTCTCAGCATTCCTCTTTTCTATATTCTTGATTTTTTTTTATATACAGTTTCCTATGTGCAGTAACAGGCCACCTTTGTTCCAGGGATTCTGTGATTCTGGGATGTTCAGTTCCCACAGGCACTATTTTACTAAAATTAACACATTATGTTCAAGTGAATGAAGTACTAGAACCACTTTAGATTGCAATCTCTCCAGCTGCATGGGAGAAACAGCATCCATCACAGCCCTGCTCGTTTCCACCTCCAGCAGCAGCAGCAGCGCTTTCCTGGCGCTCCAGAAGTTCTTGGGTAATAGAAGATGAAGGGGATACCTGCAGGGCTTGCTTCGAAGCTGCCCAGTGTTGCACAGGTGTGATTCACTGCTTGGTGTTTGCTGAGCACGATTAAGCTGCATGGGCTGGGGTGCAGCGTGCCCTCGATAGCGGCCTTTACAGGAGCAGGTGTTTCAGCGCCATGTGCCTAGTTTTGGTCTCTGCCAGGCGGTGGGTGGAGGAGGTGGACTCCCAGGAGGGAGAAAAGCCTGATTATATCATTACTTTAATCTGGTCTTACTCTCGGCTCCACAAGGACCCTGGCTCCAGCCTCTCTCATGGCTCACGGCTCGTGCTGATGTGCTGCGAGAGGGAGCAGAGCCCATGCTGGGCTGCAGCTTAACGCGCTCCAGCGCTGCAGAGTTTGTGTCCGCAGGCGAAGGCTGCCTCCCGTGCTGCGCGGAGACGCCCGGCTCAGTGTGGCTCCATGCAGCGGGACCTCTGCCAGGGCCGAGCCCTGTCCTCCAGGGCGCCCGCGCCAGGCTGCACCAACCACGCCAGGAGGGTCCTGGGTCCTGCTGCCTTCCACACACTGCAGCCTGTGTAGCTCCTCCGCCTCCTCACTGTTTCAATGCACTTCTGTTTCCCTGTGCGGGGTAAGAGGTAGCATGAAGAGCTCCCACCAGGCTGAGCACCGAGTTTCTTCGCCCGCGGGAAGCCCAACCCTCCTAATCAGAGGTCCGAGAGCCGCCTGGGCAGCTTCCTCTCCCCACCCTTCTCTGTTTGCTTTGGAGGGTTTTACTGTTGAA